CGATCAGGGCACATGTGGGAGGCAACCAATCAATGTGTCTCTCTCACACCTATGTTTCTCTCTCTTGGTTTCTCCTCCTCCCTTCTCTCTCTAGAAATCAATGGAAAATATATCCTTGGGTGAAGATTAACAACAACAAAAAATAATAAATATCTCATACTTCTATTTTAATAATAGTTCCTCTGATATTGGTTATTGGAATACAGACTTCTTTATGAAGAATCTGAGATATGCTAAAATTTATGCTGACTCACTCTTTACATATGCACCAATAAAACCCCAACTTCTAAAGGAAAACATTATTACTTTCCTTATCTGACATCAAATTACTTGGAATTTCTCAAACAGTGGCAGTCCCACCTCCATCTTCCTGGGAAATATCGCCTGAATTTCTGCCAGTCAGTGAAAGGCCTTTAAATTTTTATACAATATGAGAGCTACTTATGTTCATTTTACTAATCCTAAGAATTTAGTTTCCTATCTTGGTAACTTGCAACCACAAAGAAGCAAGACAGAGCAGCCTCACATGGCAAGTTTCTGAATAGTCTCTTATTCATCATATTTGGATTCTGAAAGATTTGGCAAATAGTATTCACATTATCAGCCAATCTGTTTAAATAAGATTGCAGACCCTCTGTCAGCTGCTTTCCAAATTGTATCCAGAGGTGCAATCTTTGGTGCCTTTTTTTATAGTCTAGTTACTTCCCTGAAAAGTCCCTTTGGCTGTATTTTATTATCATGATTTTCTTCTCCTGCCTCTGCTCTATCATCCTATATATCTATCTCTTGCTCTCTCCTTACTTTCATCAATTATTCAATAAACATTTATGCACTGTACTAGGCATGGAAGTCTAAGATAATTATATCTGACTCAAATTACTCCCAGGCTAAGGTGGAGAGACAGACCCATAAACAGTAAAATGTGTGGTAACACAGAGTCTGCGGTGCATAGGCTACTGTGAGAACACCAGGGAGAAATGAATGAGTAACGGTAGGAGTCAGGAAAGGTTTCTCAGGGAAGATAACACCTGATGAAGTCTAAAGTGAGTCTAAGCAGCACCTCTCAAACCTTAAATCATCCAAGGATCTTGTCTGAAAGATTCTGAGTCAGTAGATCTGGGTGGGATCTATTGAGCTCTCAGATGGTGCCCATGTTGTCAGTCCCCAGGCCATTCTTAGACTACAAAGGTCTTAACGGATGACTAATGACTGTTAGTAAAGGACGGGGAGGGTGAATACAGGCAGAATAGACAGCGTGAAGTGAAGCACAGAGGTAATAAACCCTGAGTGTCTGTAATAAAGCACATTCGTGTCCCAGGCAACAGGTGAGAACAGTTCCTAAATTGGGGTGAACGGGAAGATGGTATGTTTCAAGGGGAAGGGAATTTATTTCATAGGCAATGGAGCCTATCAAAATGAGCAAGACAGTTACCTGGTAACAACTGCAAATCAGATCTGGTGACTTCATTGGTAGAGTCATGGGCAAGAAGATAACTTGCTAGGCTATCTAAATAAACCTGCTAACAGTGATGATGAGGGCCTAACTTATGGCAGTAACAACAGATTTACTCAAAGGGAACTGACTTGAAAAATGTTTAGGAGATAAAGTAGGTTGATTATATTTTTACATATTAATTTAAAAGGTCTGCAAGTTGTACTTTCTTGGCATTCTTTTCCGGCCCGGTGTCTATTCTTAATCTGAAATTTAGTAGCATGTGATCTTGAATAAACCACTTAACCTCTTTTTGCACCAGATTCTACATTTTAAAACAGTGAAGAGTTGACCCAAATAAACATTGTGGTCTCTTTAAATGCTAAGCTTTATGATCCCATGAAATAAATTCATCTCTTATTAAATCATGGAATCATAGAGTGTATTCTTAAAACTTATCACAATACCTGGAGTGTAAATGTACATTGTATGACTAAAATGAATCCACCTAGCCAACAGGTATTAAAACTTGAGATTTTTTAAAAAACCCTTCCACTTCTTCACCCTTGACACTCATTAGTAAGTCCAGTTGCTTTGTACATATGTCGTAAAGGTGATTCTTTGATTTATACCTTTATTCCCTTTTAACTGGATTTCTGCAATACCACCTTAAGTGTTCTCTCTGGTACCAACCTAATCACTTTTTAGACACTGAGAAATTGAAGAACTCAGGAGTCAGAATCACCTGGGCTTAAATGAAATGCTAAGTCCACTACTTCTTGCTGTGTGGCTACTAGCAAGTTATTTAACCTCTTTAAATCTGTGTTTCCTTATCTGTGAGTCATAAAAATGATATGAACACAAAATGTTTGTAAAGTGCTTAACACAGTGCCTACTAGACAGTAAGAACTCAAATCTAGTTATTATTCTGAAACACAAATCTCATAGACTTAAAGTACAAATTAAAGCTTCCGTAAGTGCAATTATGTATCCACCTGATTAGCAAAATTTCAGAACTTATAAATCAAGTGTTGACGAGGACATAGAGCTTCTCATACATTGCTGATCTCACCGACTGGGGAAACTATTTTAGCATTATTTAGAAGAATTGAATGTGCACATACCCCAAAATTTAGTTCATTCCCTTGCTATGTATCCTATAGAAGCTCTTATATATGAGTACTAGAATCGATGAGCAATAATATATATGTATAAAAAGTATTATATATACTTATTAAGTTTATTATAAACACATTTATTAAATAAATATATATAATCCAAATGTCTATCAACAGTATAATGGAAAATTAAATTTGCTATATGCATGATACAGAATATTGTAAAAAAATTTTCATGAATAAACTAACTACATGCATCAACATGGAAGAATTGTACAAAGTTTAGCAAAGTCAGGTGACTAAGAATATATATTATATGATTACAAGTTGGAAAATCTTCAAAGGAAAGTAAGGGAACAAGTGTGACAAAAGGCAGGGTGGCGGTTAGGGGTTACCTGTAGTGGAAGGAAAAGCACATGATCTTAAAGGAGCACACAGAGACTTACCGGGAGTCTATTTCTTAATGTGAATAACGGTTATACGACATTTGCTTTATAATTATTCCTCAAACTGTATTTTTCACACATTGTTCTATGTGCATGACATCTTTCACAATTAAAAAATAAATGTGGTCATGTTAATTTCCTCCTTAAAATCTTTTAAAAGCTCTTCATTTTGGAATAAAATCCAAACTCCTTAGCTTTATTCTAAGAGATCCTTTATTATGTATCTCTTGTATCCCTCTTCATCTCCACTACTCCCATTTATGCCCCAGCAAAGTGACACCTAGTCCCTCTCACCCCCCACAAAAACGTACACTCTCTCTCAAGCCTGTGGACCATAGAAAAATGTTACCACTGCTCCCCTTCCCCTGGCTAACCTCTTACTGTCCTTAGTAGTCAGCCAAAACACCATCCCTTCCAATAAGTCTTCCTTGCATACTCTCCTCTGCTGCACGTCCTTTGGCCCCCATGCCTGCCCATGTCACAGCACCGTACAAAAACTACACATTTGCACTGAGAGCTCCTTTAAAGCAGGCAATGTCTCTTTCATCTATCCCAAGAGCTGATTCTCAATAAATCTGAGACATCACAGATTCTCAATAAATGGTGCTCAATAAATAAACATTTACGATGGGGCAGTATGTTTTTTACATTACTTAGAATGATACATCACTCAAAATAATATTAAGTTCAGCCATATAAAATTGCCCTTCTTTTAAGTTTGAAAATGGTTTTGAGTATTGGCAATTTAATACATGTTAAGCACAGAATAGTGATGACTATTACATCTGCTTCCTCAATATAACTGTAAGCAGACTGTAATGAAAATCATGATGTGAAGTAAGCATAGGGTTAATTTCATCGTCTTCTGCAGTCATAGGTTATACATTAACTCACAGGGTAGCCTATCTACCCAGAGTTATAGAAGCCGCTAAGCAAATGAAAGAAAGCTATTGATCACTAGCTCAAAACAGCTTCTTTGAGAGTCTTACAAGCACCGCTGTCATATTGTATTTCCCAGAGATGTAATTTGACAGATAACTAGTTCATCACTGCTGGAGTCTATTGACTATTGACTTTGGTAACTATGAAACATCAAGTATTCGATTAAAATATATATTTTGCCTGTGTATGCTATTTTTATAATATTTTTAAAAATTATTCCAATTAGCAAGGCAACTGGATCTTTTTTTTAATATTGTTTTATCAAGCAAATTGATTTTTAGGCTAAAATGTCATAAATGGAGCTTTATAAAACTGCTATGTGATTTCTCTTCCCTTATTTCTAAAGATCTAAGTCAGTGGTTCTCAACCTGTGGGTCCGACCACTTCGGGGGTTGGACGACCCTTTCACAGGGGTCACCTAAATACATCCTGCATATCAGGTATTTACATTACGATTCATAACAGTAGCAAAATTATAGTTATGAAGTAGCAACGAAAATAATTTTATGGTTGGGAGGGTCACAGCATTAGGAAGGTTGAGAACCACTGATCTAAGTGTTCTGTTAATATATATACCTATATACTACTATCTATTTATACAGGAATGTGAATTGGTACAGGAAGTAGGAATATATATATGAAAGGAATGGAGCATTATAATTTAGCTCAGAACCAATTCTTCTACTAGAAAGGATGAATTGGTAAATACAGAATTATGTTACAAATAATAAAACCACTGACAAGTACAGTTACCCAACTGTTACTCAGCCACATGGGATTGTTCGTTGCATCCATTTTACATAGGCTGACAGCATCCAGGATGGCAGCATCATCGTGTTATACAACGAACCCACGCACCCCAAGACCTCATGCTGCTATCTGTGGTATTAATAGCACCGCACCATCAGTTAAACATCCTCTCCAACCAATGTCCACTTTAGTGACATTATTCAGAACAGTATTTCTCCAGATCAATACGCTAAATCATATGCAATATTTAAACTGGTTATATAGATATTTAAACATTTCCTACTAAGGAATGTTTTCAAATTTGTAACTCACCACTGCTTGTTTGGTTTCTCATCTATAGGAAACGGATCTAATTCAACAGCTTCTTGCATGAGTTGCCATAACGAAGATCTGAGATGATCCTGCCCTTAGTGTTTCTCATACTAGCCTAAAATCGAAGCAAAAACATAGACAAATTTGATTTTAACAGTTAAATGGTTATTTCCCCTGCACTGAGAAAACCAAACGACTGCGAAGGACAATTGGTGATGGGTGACACAGGGGCGAGAAATAAAACATCTTGAGGTAGTTCACTCTGTAAAATTATCACAAGCACAAGAACTTTGGTTTCACCAACACCAGAGTAGCTGGATATTTTATAATCTGAACATGAGCCCAATCAGTATTGCTACTTTGGGTGATATAATATTTGTATTTGTTTTTAAGATTTTTTATTGATTTATTTTTCAGAGGGGGAAAGGGAGAAAGAAAGAGAAACACTGATGTGATAGTGAAACATTGATCGACTGTCTCTTGCGTGCCTCCTACCAGGAGCAAGCCTGCAGCCCAGGCACATGCCCTGACCCCAAGTGAACTGGCAACCTTTTGGTGCACAGGACGCTGCCCAACCAACTTAGCCGCACCAGCCAGGACTGATATTTGGTTTTGTGATATGATTTGGTTTTCTGACACAAGGCATCCTACTAAGCTTCAACTGAGGCAGCTCCACTGTTACATGTCTGCATATTCTGCTTTTCATGTAAGACTTCATTGGAACTATGGATTGCATAGTTACCAACGAACGGACTGACTGAGAGAAGTTTGAAAACCACTGAAGTATATGAAATAAAATAAAACTAAAGTTGGTCTGGAGTTGGAAAGAGACCTGTAAGTAATTTTTCCATAATCTGATCTATTTTAAAAAGTAGATTTGTAACTTCAATATGTTACTATTATTTTTCGACATTATATCAGACCAGATTCTCCGGGACTGTGCCCATTTCCAATGTTCTACCCCACCATTGAACGTAAGTTTTGCTTTCTAGTTTCTAGAACGTAAGTATGGTCACCACACCCAAACCAACCTCCTCTCTGCCCCAAATAAGAATCCCTTTCTTGGCCAGAGCCTTACAGTAACTGCTCCTAGGATTCCTCCCCCACAACCTTCTGCCCCCAGGCCATCCCTATGTGGTCCCGGGGTCACCTACCACCAATTCAGAGGAGGTGAATTTCTTTCTCCTCTGAATTCCTATTACATTTATTGTTAAATCATTAATATACAATTATACACCACCTTTGTTATTTAACCTCATCTCCAAAAATGACTATAAGCTCCTAAGTGTCAGAAACTATGTTACAGGTTCCCAAACTCTGCTACCCATAGCCCTTAACAGAGAACTCTGTACATCGGAGACATTCATTCAAGAAATATTAATGTGCCCCTACTATGTGCCAAACAGATGCAGTCATCCCTGGCAGAGATTATAGTTTAGTGGTAATACAGAAAACATAGGGACAGATAATCTCTGTATTGTGTGATACGTGCTATGACAGAGGTAGTATAGACACTGAGTGAACATGACCAAATAAACAAACTATGCGCTTTCCTTCACTATCAATGCTTTCAAATGCTATCTCCAATGTATGAGAAGGTATCATGACTTTAAGAAACTCATTGTCAGGGAGCACATGGAGCACCCAGGCTGGTTAACATCTCAAAGCCAGGAGGCCATTTTTAGTACTTTTCTGTCACTGCTGGGTTGTTTGAGAGAGAGAGAGAGAGAGAGAGAGAGAGAGAGAGAGAGAGATTGTAGCAAAAATCCTGTTCATTACTGTGCAGGTCACTCTGCAAATGACTGATTGCCCTGTAGGGGAACTTCGCTTCACACCTGCACACCGTATCACCTTTTAGAGCAACTGGGGGTTAGGAACTGCTTCTAAGGAACCTTCAGTCATTTATTTTCCATTCAAAACTCTAATTTCCATTCCTAGGAGCCTCTAGGTTTTACATCTCATAGTGACCAGGGATAAGAACAGTAAGAAAGGTCATGGTGGCTTGTTAGGAATCCAAAATATCAAATCAGCAACAACAACAAAAAGCCTTTACCAAAAATAAGTATAAATTTGAGGACCACTTTTCAAGCCAGAAATGTCTCTTTCTAATTTAAAGATTTTCAATATCGCCTGAGGTCTCACAATAAGAAATAAAGCTCCCCTCCATTAAATGAAGGTAGGAGGAGGAGGAGAATTCGTGCCTAAAACACACAGCATGCAGATTCTTTCATTCAAACAATCAATATGCAGCCTGATCTTTTATCTGAATCAGCAACAGTGTCTCATCTCAGATTTACGTAAGGGAATAAATATATCTAATATAAGAAGAAACAAATGTTCTCTCTCATAGCAGAGGTATCTAATATAAGAGAGAACAGATGTTCTTTACCCAGAAGCATCTCCCTCAGGAGCCTCTAGGCCCAACTTTCTCCACAAGCCCTTGGTCGGTCCTCAGAAGGTGTAAGAATCCATGGGGGCCAGGGAGGAAGCAGAGACTGCAGCACAGACAGCGTTGTACCACTTTCGGGCCATGGCTGGACACTGAGCCTGTTTTTGCATAAGTGTGGCAATGTCCAACCAAAGCTTAAAAGAGACTGGAGAGGAAACAGTAGGGGCAATGGGGAAAAAAAAAAATAATGTCAATTTGTTTTCTATTATTTAAATTGGAGAAAGTCTCTCTTGCTTTGAGTCCATTATTCTCATAAGCAACTAAACAATCACTTGACGTGAACACACCAATTCCATGCAAAGTCTTTTAGCCACAAATGTGACCTGAAGCCAGAACTAGAGCAGCGAAGGCGAGCATCTGCCCTCGTGTTTAATAAACCAGAAAACCCCCAATTAGTCTCTGCCTTTTTACATCAGTCTTAAAATACTTTTCCAATAAGATTACATCCAAAGAAATAGGCTCATTTACATAAAGCCACAATAAAACTCAAAAAAAAATAACCTTTAATTATAGGAAGCCTTCCCTTAAACATGGGAGGCTTTTCACACTACGTAGGTGAGGCAGATTCCTTTTGCTTATGATTTTCCTATAGGATATACTAACAAGAAAAACCATATGAATTTTCCTGGCATCTAAAGATATACTAGTACATGTATTTTATAGCACCCACAATCAATTCGCAGTTCATTCTAACCTTGAGAAATATTGGCCACGCACTATGAAACTATTAAATCCTAACAACTGCAGACATACCAGACAATGACAGCAAAAACACACTCGGCCCCTTTGGGATCCGTTCAGAAACATCCCCCTCCAGCACCGCAGATGCACTCCTCCCAACACCAGATGCTGTTCTGGGGCAAGCAGGCAGGAAGCTGGAGGCAGCTGATTCTTCCACTCCGCATATAATTTCTTACTGCCTCATCATCAAGAATCTTTTTACCAAAACTGCGAAGATTTTGTAACAACAGGAGCCCATCAAATGAAAGACACTTTGCAACAACGGGAGGAAGTAATGTGCAAATGAGGAAGCCTGAAGAGCCTTTAATATCTGAGGTCATATCACCTTTGTCATCTGATTTTCTAGTTCCGCTGTGGGGGCGAGAAAATCCAATTTGCTCTAGGTGGTAAAATAAACTAATCCAGTACTTCCTGTCAATTACAAGAGAGAGAGATCAAGGTAGGGAAGCCAATACATACCAGAGGCATCAACACCGCTGCGGCCAAACTGCCCGACCCCTAAAATCCCAGGGTTCCAGAGTGGAGTCAGAAGCTTGCGAGCTCATTCATGGGCATCTCTATCGATGCTTATCACATACATGCTCACCTAAGGCACAAATTTTACTGACGCCTCTCTGAGACAAATGGTCGTGCCTGCAACCATTTTTAACACGTCGATCAGCATTCTATGAGGTCTCTCAGAGTGCGACAACTAGCAGTCTAGGGATAGAGGGAGAATCCGGACCTTTGGGCTGGAATGCCTGGTGCACCGATACCCATTTTCCTTCCATCTGAACTGTGGCCTCTCCCACATGACTTAGCCTGCCTCTTTCCAGTTCGTTCATAAAAGTTACCATCAACAGACCAGCAGCAGGCAGGGCTGCTGCCCACTGTCCGCTTCTGCAGCAAGGCAGGCGCGTAAACAACCTTGTGATTGCTTCAGAGCTCACTGCCTCCGGATAAGCCATTCTTCTTCTGTGGCTAAATTGCAGTATCCCAGGAAGTTATGCCTTGAAGGGGGTTCAAGCAGAGACTCAGTCTCTACATTTAAATGTAAGGGGGGTGGGAATAAATATGTATATATATCATTTTCTTGAGATATCTCTAACCCTGATTTACTTGAAGATTTTCCAATAAATCCCATTTATTTTGCTGCAGGCACAAATACATAAGTTCTGATAAATATATTGCCATGCTCATTTCTGATCATAGAGCTTTTTTCTCCCCCAAAGAGCTCTGACATTTCCAGGGGACACAGTATCCCAGCACAGAAAACCTGGGAACCATGCCATTAAAAAAAAAAAAAATGCTGCCTGCTGTGACTAGGAGATCACTTTCTTAAAGGGACCCCTTACCTATAGGACTGCAGTGCCAATGTTTCACCTGACCCCTGTTCTGTGTTCCTCTCCCCAGCCCAAATTTAGCCTAGAGTGTTTCTGCAAGACTAATGCCATTAGTTTTGCAACTAAAATATATACATACCATTCTCAACTAAAATATGTAAATATGTCCCAAAATATTTAAGTTACACCTCTCAGGAAGTAAATGTAAGTGCATACTAAAAGATATGATTTTTAATGTTTTAGGGAACTCGTAGCATTTCTTGGATATGGGACTGAGGTCAGCACTTCCAATAAGCATCTCTCTCTCTCTCTCTCTCTCTCTCTCTCTCTCCTGCTTTTCTCTTCCTTTCTGTAGCTCTGCACTGATCTAAAAACCCCTGGTCACAAGAAGAAAGCTCCCTCCACCCTCTGCCCACCCTCACTCCGAACAGAAATGTTTCAACACGCCCAAGTCTGGGGAGAGATGCCCCGCACAACAGGAGAGGCTGGCGGTTCGGCCTCAGAGGTAGTTCACTTCATTAACCTGCTTTTCCGCCGCACCTGCCTCCTCTCCCACCCCACCAGGAGCAATGACCAGACATCACCACACCCTCCAAAACACAGGTTAGAACCCAGAAGGAGCAAAGAGCTACCTACCATTCCGTGCTTCAGAACTCCGATCCTCATCCAGCAGTTCGCCCCCCCCAATCCTCCCTACTTGTTTTTCATTAACCACATTCCAAACTGTGATAAGGAACAGGTTCTTTGGAGGTGGGGAAAATGTTTAAAATTAAAGATGGACAGGTGATGTCCAAGAAAACCCAATCTTAAAGTCACTCAAGCCCCTGGGAATTGAGGGGTGAGGAGAAAAAAAGGAAATTTGTAAAAATGAAAAAAGAAAAGCAAAAGGTAAGCATGTAACAAGCGCCCCCCAGCCCCCATGAAAAAAATAAAAAGACAAGGGAAGGTTTTCTTAAAGGAAGGAGAAGGAGACGAGTGGCTTGCTGAATCACCCTCTCTCACTGCCTGGAAACCATTGTGCAGCGTGATGCTGCCTGTACCATTGTGGAACCTACCGGAGGAGACCGACAGAGGGCTTGGGGAATGGGGTTGCTATGGCAACTGAAAGGAGCACACGTGACGTCAAAGCCCAGAGAGGTCTAGGGCGGGGGGAGAGGGGGAAAGGGAAGGAGGAAAAAGTCTCTGTGCGGCTACAGCTACCTTGTTTTCCAGCGAAATGACGACCAGGCAAAATGGAAAGGAATAGGGTTTGTTGGCAGCCACTGTCAGCAGCGAGGGCATCAGGCAGCGGGGCTGCACAGTCCGAGAAACCATCGGCTCCAGGCAGCCCTGGCGCTGCACACAGCCCGCTGAGGAACACATGCCCGCAGTCCAGCACACCATGGGAAAGACAGTCCATCTCTTCTTTTCGACTAGCTCAGCTTTTCTGCAAACAGCACAAAGAGAGACACAGTATCTGTAACCGTCAAAGCAAACAAGGATGATGATCTCCTCTGAGGGGATGTGGGCATTTAAGTCCTGCCCGGACCCAGAGGTCATTTGCACAGCGCTGTTCCTTTTCTGTTTCCCTTGTTTTTAATAACAAATCCTAAATAAATATTCACTAAATCAAACTCAACAAACTGATTCTTAGACTGCAATTTGAATGTGGAAACAAAATACAGATAATTTGAGTTAAGCATCAGGGTTCTTTTCTTTATTTTAAAGGCAGATAATTCTCTGGAAAACTGATACAAATTGCTTTATTACTATTTAGGGCAAATATATCCATTTTATTTAAGAAACTTGCCCTGCCTTTGACTTGGAGCATATTTTTAAGTCTCCAGTTTTTCACATCTACAAATAGTAGGTTTTTAGAGAATGAGAGCAGTTGACTACTTACACTACTAAAAAAAATTTACCAAATTTTAACATTTTAAAAATATCTTTTTACACAAGGAAAAATTTCAATATATGTTTGTCCTCACCAGCTTCAGCACTTGGACTTCTCAAGTTACTGAATCTAACCAAACTTTTTTTGTTTAAATAACTTTGAGGAGGATTTCTATCTATTACAACCAAGTAGTGCTGAGTTTTATATGATTCTACAGTATGTTTTGGAACTAGTATACTTACATGAATATGGAGCTTCTTCCGCATGTTAACAGAAAAGATATAACATGCAACAGATATAAATGAGGCAAAGATCTGAGACACTGGAACACATCAGGAAACTGCAGGAGACCAGCTTTTGTGGTTGTTGTTGCTGCCGCTGTTGTTTTATTCAGGAGGGAATCTGGAAAAAAATAGAGTCTTGCATGAGTTTTCTGTCTTTTTAGTCCATTGGACAAATTTTTGGATCTCGCTTACTCTAATATTCAACAAAAATCAGTTGATTGTTAATTTTTAGTCTTAGCAATTAGCTTACCTACAAGATGACTATGTCTCAAGCAAAAATATGTAGTGATTAGCTAAACGACTTCAGAGTACAATGTAATTGGCATTCAGACTTTTCAGTTATTGTATTCCGAGTTTGGGTATCAAAGGTAAGTTCTCAATAACTGGATATCAAGGAGGAAACTGTGAACTTCAACTCTTACCTCACATTACAAACATAAATATTAATTCAGGATAAATTATACTCTGAAATAGAAAAGCTAAAATCTATAAAACTACTAGCATAAAATGTATCTTTTAGAAGAAAGAAGAGCTTTCTGATCTTGGAGTAGGCAAAGATTTCTTAGAACACAAAGTACTCATCATAATTGGGGGGAGGGGAAGGGCTAAATCAAAACTAAAAGCTTCTACTTATCCAAAGTCATCATTAACAAAATGAATAAACAAGACATGGACTATAAGAAAATACTCTTGATAAACATATCTGAAAATACTCTTTATATACACAAATTCAAAATACCCTGCAACTCAGTGTTAAAAACAAACAATTTTGTTTAATGGGCAAAAGTCTTGAGTAGGCACTTGACAAAGGAAGATTGATAAGTGATCAATGGGTATATAAAAAAGTATTCAACATCATTGCTCGTCAGAGAAATGCAAATTAAAACTGTAATAAATGTCATTTCACATCCACAAAAAAATGGTTAAAATTAAAAAGACTAACAATACTAACTTTTGGATAGGATATGGAGAAACCAGAACTCTTCTACATTAATGATGGGAGTAAAAACTGGTAAAACTGCTTTAGAAAATGGTTTGGCAATGTGTGATTTTTTATTGGTAAACAGACACCCACAGATTGGCTCAACAGCTCTATTCATAGTCACCCAAGAGAATAGAAACATATGTCCACACACAAAGTTTTTCGTAAATGCTTGTGCTAGCTCTATTTACAAATGATAAAAACTGGAAATAACTCAAATTATGGTATATACATATAATAAAATACTATTCAGAAATTTTAAAGTGACAAGTATAAATAGCTTAAAACCAATCCTTTTCTTCCATTAGGTGCTAATTCTTAATGGCACAAGTTATAAAAAGTGATAGGTTTCAACATTGTTCATAGATTTTGAGGTAGATTTTATAATTTAGGGCTTTAATTCTCAACCTGCTCATTTCAGTAATACTTAGATGATTAAAATGATCTTTTAAGTCCATTATATATAATATGGAAAAATTAATTTCCTAAAATCAGATCCCATTTAATGCAAGTTCATTCCTTTAAAATCAACACCAAAATAAATCCCATTACTTACTGGGTAAAAACAAAATTCTTTATTTAAAGCCTTTAATAAGATGATTTGAATTGTGAGTCTCAATCCAATATAATATGTTTTAGAGCCTCTAGTTCCAAAAATATACATTTTAAAATAAAAAGTGAGAACAAAAAAGAAGATACCTATTGATATCATTGCATTTGCATTGTGCTGATGTATAGTTGCACCTACCATGTGAATTCCCACAAAAGTGTCTCTTTCCTTTCATTTGGTATTTACTATAATATTGTATTGTATTGTATTACTCTTATTTTATGACCTGCTCTTATTTTATGTTGTATTACTCTTATTTTATGAATATATACTATCTTACCTTAAGCTTGACTGTGACTTAATCCACTTTATTTCTCATTATCTTCCCTGAAAGTCCCCTTCTCCAGCAACCTAGCATATCTTCTCACACATGGTAGGTGATCAGTAAACAATTATAGTTAACTAGAGGCCCGATGCACAGATTCGTGCATCAGTGGGGTCCCTTGGCCTGGCCTGTGGGGATCAGTGGACCTCCGTGCCACCGAAGCCTGGCCTTACCCGCCAGCTCATTGGACTCCAACCCATTGTCCTCATCGATGCTGCACAGCACAAAGTAGTGGGTGAAGCAGCAGGTGGCTGGGGATGAGCCCGAGCCCATAGTGGGTGCTGCACTGCTCCCACTCATCCCAGCTCCACAGCCACTTGGGCATGCAGGGGGAGTGTCCGTGGGAGAGGCTCGCATCACCACAGCTGCGCATTGCCAGCTGTGAGCCCAGTGCCTGGCAGCTCCTGCATTAATCGTCTGCCCCCTGGTGGTCAGTGTGCATCATAGCTACTGGCCTGTGGTCCAGTTGCTTAGGCTTTTATATAGAGAGATTATAATTATCTATGATTACATAATTCTTTTTACCAGCAATAAAATTTTTTTATCTCATATGTTATTATGGAGTGTTAAGTTTTGAGATATCCAATATTAAAGCAGGTAACTTCTGTTAATAATATTACATATTTGAACTTTAACTATTTCAAATTCTTTGCAAACTGCTTTCAAATGGAACTGTATTTAATCTAGAAGTCTGACCTGAATTCTATCAGAACTATCATCATGAGTTTTTGAAAGAAGTTAAATAAATAAATAAATATAAGTTCTTATTTTCAAAAGCACAGAATTATATTTAGTATCCTTTGTGTATAGGTTTATTTATTTAACAGCATGTTTGTAGTCTGTGGTAGGGCTGAAG